AATACTGTTTTCTAATTGAGTATTTTCAATTTAAATAGTTACGTAAATTTCAATTGTCACAAGACTGCCTTCATTTGGATCACCACGGTTGTAAGTATCCTAGGGACTATTCAACTAAATCTACTCTTCCATGTAAATGTGTTTATTTTTCTGATTAGCAAGTCCGATAAAAATAAATTATGGAGATAGCAATAAATAAAAAATATTTCAAATACAATACAGTATAAACCTGTGATAGCTAGATAGATACTTTGGAGATTCATATGCCAAACTTATTTTGGTATTTCAACTTGAACTCCAGTAACGAATGTGGAAAAGAGAACAAATGACATTTTATCATTTTAGTCGGCAAAAATTAACAAGTTTGGTGTAATCAAAGCCCTATGGGTTTTATAAGACTAGCATTGTAACTATGGAATCTTTTACAAGTGATCTGGAAGTTTTTGATAGATTTGTGATAGGACCCAAGTAGTTTTTTGTAAAGTAATTTCTCTAGTTTTTGAGTATTCTTTGTTTGGGGCTCCCTTAAAGGATGGTAGTTAGATCCAACCAGAAAGTGGAAGGCCTGGCAGTTGATAAGGAGACTAGAAAGGACATTTTCAGTTGCTTTTCTACAAGGTTGCAAATTGACATGCTGTGTATTGAGAATTGCTTTATCATTGTCCTTTTTTTCCAGTTAATTTTTGGTTTTGGTAGCTTAAATAATTTCTCTGTTCTTGTGGTACTTGGACTGAATTTTTGTTATTGGACATTAAAACTCACTGCATCCTGTAGGTAACTACAATTTTGCTTATTATTGTGTGACTATGTAGAAAGAATTGGCTGCAAAGGGGCTGGATGGAACTTTTTAGGGTGACTGGAAACAGATCTAGATTGTGCACATGGTTCTAGGACAGAACACATTTGTTAAGATTCACTCAACTGTACATTATTGTATGTAAGTTAGCCTTTACTAAACCTGACTTTTAAACAGTTAAAATATATATATATAAATGGCAAGGTGGAAAAATATCTGCAACTCATCATTAGCCCAAGGACTAATTTCGGCAATAAAGAATTTTGATAGCAACCCAATAAAAAATAAGCAAAAGAAATACAGACATTTCACAAAACAAATGGCTTTTAAATGTAAGAAAGATACTGTTTCATTCATAATAAAATAAATATAAATCAAAACTTTGAGATACTATTTTTAAATTATAAGATTGAAAAAGATCAACAATTTTGATAACACTCTGTTGAGCACATAGGGAAATTAGGCACTCGTGTATCACTGATAGTTTACGTTGGTACAACCGTCATGAAAAATACTATGTATTGGCAAAATCCATTGCAAACTTAGAAGTTTTCAAGAGGGAGTTTAACTTAAGAGTTTATGGGGGAAGGTAGAGTCCCCACTGAACAGTTTACATCTTGTCTAGATGGGTCTGGTGAAAAGAGATGGGGATAAGATTCTTATGATTCAGTAGAGAGTAATTGTTACCACAACTAATTGCAATTGTCACAACTGTAAAGGTAGAAGTTTTGTAACAAAAACGGGGGTGGGCGGGTTAATCTTACAGTCCAGAAGCAGAGGACTCAAGGACCATCAAGGGAGAAGAGCACAAGTGGAATGTGGGACCCTATCCAGAGAAGCAGCTACACCAGAGATGGAAGCAGAGATGAGGACATGAAGAGAGGGAGCAGCTGAGGACTCTGGACTCATGGAAAGAGAAGGACTGAGTGCTGGCGGCCAGGAGGCAGACTTGTGCCCTTTGGTTGTTTAAATTATTCCTGAGTGTTTTTGTGTATATTCCCCCACCCCCCAAAAAAAGGGAATGTAAGCAAATAGCATTGAATGATGATACACAAAGGAGATTATAATCATTGCAATGAATTGATGGTGTAAAGCCGATGTTCTCCCATGTAAACTATCACTCAGTTCACAATATAATTTAAAAAAAAAAATCCATTCCAGTTAAGCAGTAAAGAACTGCTCAATTTGTATTAGCCACATTGGCTCTCTGTTCTTTCTCAAAGATGTCAAGCATATCCAGTTCAGGAGCGCTATGTATCATTTGCCTTTCCCCACCACCCCTGCAAGGCATATTAGTTTTTCCTTCATTTCCTTCAGACTGTTATTCAGATGTTACCTCCGATCTAAAACAGTAGCTCCACCTCCTCCATTATTATTTGTTTACCTTGCTTTTTCATCACACTTATTGTCTGACCCTATTTTATGTATTTATGTTCATTGTCTCTCCTCTCCAATCAGTCTGTAAACCTGGTAAAGGTGAGGACTTTATTGTATATACTGCTATATCTCTACACCCCAGAACAGTATAGCTTAACATGTAATATTCAAGAAGTACGTATCTTAATGAGCAAATCTCTATGGAGGACAATTTAGCAAGATTTATTAAGATTTGGTTACGAATCGGGCTGCGAACCTTAAGGTCAGCAGTTCGAAACTACCAGCCGCTCCGCGGGAGAAAGATGAGGCTTTCTACTCCCGTAAGGATTTACACCCTCGGAAACCCTGTACAGGGTCGCTCTGGGTCGGAACCGACTCGACGGCACTTAACAACAACAACAACAAAGTGCATATACCCTGCCTGGGTCAGCAATTTTTCTCTAGGCATTTATCCTGTAGATATTCTTTTAAAACAAATAGTGTAAAAGGTTATTTATTTATGATATTGCTTATAATGGCTTATAATGGTGAAAGGGGGAAACAATTAGAGTCAACTTTTCAAATAAATTATCTATATCTATACAATGGACTGGGGAGCACAGTGGTTCCATAGGATAAGCATAGGACTGCGAACCATAAGGTTGACTGTTTGAGCTCACCAGCTGCTCAGAAGGAGAAAGATGAGGCTTTCTGTTCCCACAAAAGATTTAAAGTCTTGGAAACCCTATACAAGATTGCTAAGTCAAAACCAACTCCATGACACTTAACAATACAATGGAATATTATGTAGATACAGAAGAATCTCTGTCTGAAATACTTTTGCTACTTTTGGCAAATATACAGATGAAATATGGCCATCTTAAGTCCCTAGTGATATAGCTATAAGAAGGACGCCTTTAATGGAGCTTTTAATGGTAAAGAGAATGGGGATGGGCAGGTAGAGTGAATAATTATTTTAAGTTTTATTTAATGAACATTAATTTCCTTGCAAAGAATATTTCCATCACTTAAATAATATTCTAGAAAAAAGAAAGATCTATTTATGTACAGATACCCTTAAGCAAAGGTTTAACAAGAATCTCTTTTTGTAGTTGCAAATTCATGAATTCTTCCTTAATTAAGAGTGGGTTTCCCTCCTATCCCCTCTGTATACAGGGTTGATAGGGACTGGCAACTTAGACATTGGCTACCTAAAATAGCCATGAAGTGGTTGGCTTACAAGTTTTCAAGAGGGAGTATAGTTTCAGAGTGTGCAGGGGAAGGTAGAATGCCTCTAAATAATTCTAATCTTGTCTAGGTGGGTCTGGTGAAAGGAGATAGGGATAAGATTCTTATGATTCAATAGTGAGTAACTGTTATCATGACTAATTGCGACTGTCACAATTGTAAATGTAGAAATTTTATAACAAAAACGGGGGAGTAGTTAATCTTACAGTCCAGAAACAGAGGACCCTAGGATCATCAAGGGAGAAGAGCAGGAGCAGAATGTGGAATCTTATCCAGAGAAGCAGCGACACCAGAGATAAAGGCAGAGACGAGGACATGGAGAGAGGGAGCAGCTGAGGACTCTACACTCATGGAAACAGAAAGGCTGTGTGCTGGTGGCCAGGAGTCAAGCTTGCAGAATATGCCCTTTGATAGTTTACTTGACTATATATTCCTTAGTGTTTTTGTGTAAATCTCCCCTCTGCACCCCCCCAAAAAAAGAGGGAATGGGATCAAATATTATTGAATGATGATGCACAGAGGAGATTGTAATCATTGCAATGAAACAATAAATGTAAAACTGACATTCTCTCATGTAAACTATTACTCAATTCACAATAAAATTTTTAAAAAAAATTCATAGAATTGTACACCAAAAAATCAATTTCACTATGTATAAATCTTTAAATATGAAAGAAATAACCAAAGATAATTTTTTTAAATGGGTTTCCCATTGTTCAAACAGACCTCTTGTCCATAGGAAGATATTCAGAGTTTGAGAATATCTTAGTACACAAGGGTGCTACAAAATTTCATGGAAAAATGAATTCTTCCTAAGAATAGATTTCCCATTTTTCAAACAAACTTCTTATTTATGGGATGGTATTCAGAATTCTATAATGTATTAATAGACAAGGGAATGAAAAGATAAGGGAATTTTTCCACGAACTTTTTGAAGCCCCCTCATATATTGCCTGATAATTGATGGGGCTGATCTCTTGCTGTCCATCAAATGGCATCTGCTTGCAGCTGCATGGCATTTTTCAAGGGTGCTCTATTCTCCAGAATGAATACATATAAAACAAGTTAAACACTTATAAAAATATAATGTATACAGGATAATTTCCTGATAAACATATATGCTTTTCAATCTTGCCAAACTGTAATGTGCCTTCTACTCTACAAATAAAACCTTTAATTTTTCTGTCTCTTTACTCATCGTTCCTCCCCATTTTTCCCAGTTTGTATCATCTGGAATCCTGTAGACTCTTATACCTAAATGCTACCATTTCAAGCACTAGGTAAAATCTCCCCTGACTATCCAATTGTAATCTAGGCTCTGAGCTTCTCTGGCCTATCGCTGTCTCTATCAAGCAGCTTTTGCTGTCATTTTAATTAGCTCTTCAATAATTTTCCAATTCGATTGGAGGCTCCTTAAAGACAGATCCCTGCACTGTTTTCTTTTCTTTCTCATGTACCCACATAGTAATGTTCTAAATGATCTGGTTTTGAAAAGCAATACAGTCAATCCAATTAGGACCCAACATGCACAGTTAGTGTTCTTTACGGATTTTGCTATAACCAATCTATATTCTTTGTATAAACATGGAATTTCTGTCAACCCAATAAATTCTGTGAGTGCTTAGTATCAGAACTCATCAGCTGACTCTGTGTCCCAGCCACAGGACTGTAGTTGTTCATCCTCTGGAAACTCAACTTCAATGTCATAAACAAAATTTGGATCATCCTTTTTCTTCTGATTTTTCTCAAAAAGTTCATCCATGATGCTCTTCCTTTTAGCAAGTTCCTTGTCATCTAGTTTGTTCAGGTCTTCCTCGGGATCAATGGTTCTTTCCTGTTGAATTTGTTCCATTGTTTCTGTCAAACTCTGCCCCTGCAAGTAACCTCGTAAAAAACAGAATAACTTCTCTAGTTGCCTCAGAGATACTTGTTCCAGGTAACTCTTGTGACGGGGGTTATTCTTTAGTTGCTCAGCAGCTCTGTTGCAGTCTAGGAGGGAGAAACACCCCAACAATTACATACTCCACATACCATAAACACCATTGACTATTAGTGCATCACACACTCCTGCACAACAGAACAAAACCTCCAAATCCTGAATCCTGAAGGCATTATCTGTCGTGATTGCCCAGTAGCTAAAAGGCTTTATTGGAATAAATTATATTGCTGAGCTATTCCTGTATAGTGAGCTTTCAGCTGAGCGCGGGGAAAAAAGGGATGTGTGTTTGACTTCCTTAACTTCAAATTACTGTGTGGAACTGTTAAGCACTTTCAATGGAGAATGTCTGAGAAGAAAAAGAGATAGTATAGCTTTTAGACAGTGGTACTGGTACTAATAAAATATGAATCATTATATATATATATATTCTTCCATATAAAATATATGGAATCCTGGTGTGGCACTGTGGGTTAATACGCTGGACTGCAAAGTTGGTTTGAACCATACAGGTCCGTAGTTCAAGCTCACCAGTTGCTCCTTGGAAACCCTATACAGGGTTGCTATGGGTCAGAATTGACTCAACGGCACTTAACAACAACAACATAAATATATGGAGTCCTGGTGTGACACTAGGATAAAGCACTGGATCACAAGGTCAGTTTGAAACACAAGGTCAGCAATTCAAATTTACCAACCGCTCCTTGGAAACCCAAACCCTATACAGGTTTGCTAAGTGTCGGGACCAACTCAATGGCTCTTAACAACATGTATGTGTGTGTGTGTGTGTGTGTGTGTGTATATATATATATACATACACACATACATACATATATACACACACACTTAAATTGTTGCTGTTGTTGCTAAGTACCGTGGAGTCGGTTCCGACTCATAGTGACCCTGCACAGGGTTTCCGAGGCTGTAAATCTTTATGGGAGCAGAATGCCTCATCTTTCTCCCATGGAACTGCTAGTAGTTTTGAACTGCTGACCTTGAGGTTGGCAGCCTGACTCGTAACCACTACGCTACCAGAGCTCCTTACACAATTATATACATACATATATAGATATACACACACACACACATATATACACACATACATATATACATTGTTGTTATTGTTGTTATTGTTGTTAAGTGCTGTCGAGTCGATTCTGACCCATAGCAACCCTGTATAGGGTTTTCGAGGAGCAGCTGGTGATCTTGAACCACTAACCTTGCAGTTCAAATGGCTTTGCAGTCTGGCACATTAACCCACAACATCTATCCATATATATATATATTTGAAGGGAGAAAAGGAAATTAACATTATGAAATAATACTGTCTCACTTAATCCACACAGCAGTCTTGAGAGGGTGGAATTATCAACCCCTTTTTACAAACTAGGAAACTGAAGCTCATTGAGAGTAAGTAAATTAGCAAGGGTCACACATGTAGCCCTTGGTAGCAATAATGATATGAATGAACCTGGGTCTGTCTGAGTCTTAAGGACATATTACTTCATTGCATGAGACTCAAATTCTTTTTATTAAGGGATTGACATAATACTTAAGATAGGAGGCAAGCTAAAACACAGGCTACCTGAAAACTTTGAAAAGTTTCGGACTGGCATGATCCGCTGCCGACTCTTTCCCTTGACTTCACCGTCATAGATTAGGATGATAGCTGGAGGCTGGAATCTAATTCCGCATTTCTTGGCAGTACACATCATTCCTATGTATACTGCAGGGAAAATCAGAGGAAATCTGATGAAAATGTGTTAGTCACATAATGACTTCCTGAAAACAAAATACAATTTCAGTTCCACTAGATGCTAGATAAAGCTCACACCCTGCCTCTCCCCACTTTGTCCCCTGCAGTTCTGGCTCTAGCCCAGTTCTCAAGATGCAGGCTCAGCCTATGAAGCCTAATACTTCTGGGGTGACCCTGAAAGTTATTTGGCCTAGGTTATCCTCAGTCTGTTGGATCCCTAAGAACCCCTGATTCATTGACACGGAAACCTGAGAAAACAGTTGTTTAGCCCTCTTAGTGTACTGTACTCTTACCCAAGATTGTATCTGAATCCCTAAGTGGGCCCAAAAACTGACCTAAAGGGTCTTTTTAATTTACAGTTAGTAGAGTTGTCAAATTTGTACCAAGCACCTTCCCTATCCAGGACTGCCAGTGATCACCTTAGATGCTATGTCCTTAGGGTTTACCAGACTAGCTCTGTCTCCATTGTCTTTTCCCAATCATTTAATCATCAGATTGTTTGTTTCCTGTAATTATTTATTTAATCATCTGTCATCCCTTCTCATCTTTAGGCTCCATGAGGATAGAAACTGTATTCATTTTTCACTACTACATCCCAGCAAAATACCTTGCATTAATTTAACTCAGTGCATTAATTTAATTCAATGCATAGGCCCCAGCGACAGTCCATCTTTAAGAATTCACAGTCAATGTTGTTGTTATTAAGCGCTGTTGAGTCATTTTCCACTCATAGTGACCCTGTAAAGGTTTCTGAGGAGTGGCTGGCAGGTCTGACCTGCTGACCTTGTGGTTTGGATTCCAGTGCTAATCCTACAACATCACACCAGGAGTCCACAGCCTAATAAAAAAGGCAGACCTAGTTAGGAATTGGTCTCTACATACATGAGACAATAATGTTTACACAGAGTCCTAGTGTGGTACTGTAGGATAAAGCACTGGACTGCAAAGTCAGTTTGAACCTCATTGTTGGCAGTTAAAACCCACCAGCAGCTCCTCGGAAACACAGCTTTAATGTTGTGCTTATTTGTCTCACTATATGCTATTTTAAGGAGCTCTGGTAGCGTAGTGGTTACGAATCGGGCTGCGAACCTTAAGGTCAGCAGTTCGAAACTACCAGCCGCTCCGCGGGAGAAAGATGAGGCTTTCTACTCCCGTAAGGATTTACACCCTCGGAAACCCTGTACAGGGTCGCTATGGGTCGGAACCGACTCGACGGCACTTAACAACAACAACAACATATGCTATTTTTAAAATTTCTCAATAGCACAGCTTTTGCAGGTTAATACTCTCAATTCCCTCTTCCTTTTGTACCCTCAACACCAAATATACTTCATTATTGGGACTGCTTTAGATGTGACTATAATATTCTCAGAAAGATTTACAAATATCAAGAAACCTTGAGGTGAAATGGCATAGAATGTTGATATTTTCATAAACTCAGTTCTGTTAAGAGAATCACTATAGGGCACACATGAGCTTATGCTTGCTTGAAATTCAAAAGGTCCACCTTTTCCCACCCATGCAGATCTTTACTTTAATCATAAATCTGTTCTCTCAGCAGTTCTGTGCATGGTTCAGGTTATCTATCACCTAAGCCCCTTACTCTATACAAAGGCTACTGGCTTAAAATAGAACCTGTTCCTTCTGGTCAGTTCCTAACTCCTCTTTTAGCATATCTAATCAAGGAGTCCTGGTGTGGCGCTGTGGGTTAATGCGCCAGACTGCAAAGTCATTTGAACTGCAAGGTGAGCAGTTCAAGTTCACCAGCTGCTCCTCGGAAACCCTATACAGGGTAGCTATGGGTTGAAACCGACTCCATGGCACTTAACCACAACAACAACAATCAAGTATAGATTACAAGCTCTCTGTAATCATCACACCCAAGTGGCTTTTGCCCCGGTGAATCCAGTAGCACCACAACATCTCTTACCGGCCTTTAACCATTTAAGACTCAGAAATTTCACTTCCTACGTCCTTTCACTCTGTCTTTTACAAAACCCCATACTTTTATGAGTCTGGAGCCATTGCAACAAATCCCACTTCTGATACAAAGTTTCAACAAAATGTGGCACCAGCCATTCCTCTCACAACCCTCTCTACTTTAATGGAGTTCAGTAATCCATTGCAATGGCTACACAGAATCCAAAGATAATGCTCACAGTGATGGAGTTTATTAGGGAAGTTTACAGGTTACAATTCGGGGTCAAAATGCTCAGGGCACAATTGTTCCAGTCAGCTGCTGATAAAGGCTCATAGAACACACCACTCCACTGTAAGTCTCCACTCAGCACTGGCTCCAGGGGTCAGCAAACCTAGCTCCCCCACTTCGTGCCTGAAGGCACTTCACTCTACAAGACAGCTTCCTGCTCAAAGTCACTCAGTTTTACTTGCTAGGAAGTCCACTACTCTGGTGTATGCTCTAGTTCCTGATTCTGCTGCTATTGCTCCTCTGGTGCCACAGTTTCCTGCCCCTAGGTTGAGGAGTCGAATGTACAGGAATCTTGAACATGCTCCATTCCTGACTCTTCTTCTTTGATTGTAGTGAGATTTCCCCTCTCTGGCTTCTGCGATGGTTCATTTTAGACCTATGCTACAATTTCAAGTTTTTACAGTTATAATTAACTCTGCTAACATCCATAGAAGAATCATGTCATCCTATCAGTATTTGGTGGGAGTTTACAAACTATGGTTAGAAGAATCATTAGATAATTTATTCACTACACCTCAGTTTAAAATATACTTAAATAAGAGTAATTCATATATGTTCATTGTAGAAAATCTGGGAGAGTGGAGAGATGTGGAAGAAAACATATATAAAACAATTACCCTTAACTCCTTCCAGTCTTTTTCTATGCATATAGTTTTATTTATTTAAATTATCATATGTCTTTTATATTATATATAGTATTTCCTACCTTTTAAATTTAACAATCTATGTGATTATTGTCATCAAAAAACTTACTAACATGCAATTTTTTTACATGATTATGTCCTGGTTTGGCACAGTAGGATAAGTACTGGACTGCTAACGGAAAGGGTGACAGTTCAAACCCACAAACCACTCCTCGGAAACCCTATACAGGGTTGCTATGAGTCAGGACCAACTCAATTGTACTTAACAAAAACAATCATCCCACCACTCATCTACCAGTTTTGTCATACTGTGATGGTTTGTGTGTTGTGATGCTGTAAGCTAGGCCACTGGTATTTTAAATACCAGCAGGGTCAACCAGGGTGGACAGATTTCAGCAGAGCCTCCAGACTAAGACAGACTAAGAAGTAGAAAAAGCAGACCACTTCTGAATGATTGTTGTTGTTGTTATTTTAAGTGCCATAGCGTAGTGGTTACGAATCGGGCTGTGAACCGCAAGGTCAGCAGTTCGAAACTACCAGCGGTTCCGCGGGAGAAAGATGAGGCATTCTGCTCCCGTAAAGATTAACAGCCTCGGAAACCCTGTGCAGGGTCGCTATGAGTCGGAACCGACTCCACGGCACATAACAACAACAACAAACAAGTCAATTCCGACTCATAGTGACCCTGTACACGGTTTCCAATGGTGGATTTGAGCCAATGACCTGTGGTGCACAATTCTACAACACCATGCAAGGAGTCCACTGAAAACCTTATGAAAAGCAGCAGAACTTGTCAGATGTAGTGCTGAAAGACAACCTCTCAGGTTGGAAGATACTCAAAATGTCACGGGGGAAAATCTGTCTCCTCAAAGTATATTTGACTTTAATGATGTGGATGGAGCAAAACTTTTGGGACCTTCATATGATGATGAGACACAACTGAAAATAAGAAGAAACAGCTGCAAATATCCATTAATAATCGGAATGCAGAATATATAAAGTATGATTCTTGGAAAATTGAAAGTTGCCAAAACTGAATGGAATGCATAAAGATCCTAGGCATTAGTGACCTAAAATAGACTGGTATTTGCCATTTTGAATTAGACAATCATAGGGTTACTAAGCTAAGAATAACAAAATGAACAGGAATGGCTCGTATTCATAATCAAAAAGATCATTTCAAGATCTGTTTTGAAGTACAATTCGGTCTGTGATAGGATAATATCTATATACCTACAAGGAAGACCAGGCACCCTGCTAGTACAGTGGGTTATGAGTTGGATGCTAACCAAAAGGTCAGTAGTTTGAATGCACCAGCCACTCCATAGGAGAAAGATGAGGATTGTTGCTCCCATAAAAATTTACAGCCCTGGGAACCCTATATAGGGTTGCTATGAGTCGGAATTGACTCTACGGCACACGACCATTGCTACCACCACAAGGAAGACCAGTCAGTAAACTATTATTCAAATGTATGCACCCACCACTAAAGCCAATAATGATGAAATTAAAGATTTCTACCAACTTCTTCAGTCTGAAATTTGATCAAATATGCAGTCAAGATGCATTGATAATTACTGGTAATTGGGATGCAAAGTTTGGTAACAAAGAGAAAGGATCAGTGGTTGTAACATATGGTCTTGGTGACAGAATCTATACTGGAGATCCCATAATAGAATTATGTAAGACTAATGGCTTATTCAAGGAGCTCTGGTAGCATAGTGGTGACGAATTGGGGTGCTAATCTCATTGTCAGCAGTTTGAAACTAGCAGCTATTCAGCAGGAGAAAGATGAGGCTTTCTGTTCCCTTAAACATTTACAGCCTTGGAAACCCTGTACAGGGTCACTATGAGTTGGAATCGACTCCACAGCACATAACAACAACAACAATGGCTTATTCATTGCAATACCTTTTTTCAAAAACATAAACAGTGACTATACATCTGGACCTTACCAAATGGAATACACAGAAATCAAACTGACTACACTGTGGGAAGAGACAATGGAGAAACTCAATATCATCAGCCAAAACAAGACCAGAGGCAGATTGTGGAACAGGCCATCAACTGCTCATATGCAAGGTCAGGATGAAGTTGAAGAAAATTACAAGTTCAGGAGAGCCTGAATATGACCTTGAATATATCCAGCTTATATTTAAAGAGCATCTCAAGTACAGATATGATGCATTAGACACCAATGACTGAAGACAAAGGTAGTTGTGGGATGACATCATGAACATCAGACAGAAAAAAAGCAAAAAGTCATTAAAAAGACAAGAAAGAAAGAAAAAAGAGACTAAAATGGATGTCAGAAGAAAGTCTGAAAGTTGCTCTTGAACACAGAGAAGCTAAAGCGACTGGGAGAACCGAAGTAAAACAGCTGAAAAGAAAATTTCAAAGAGTAGCTCTAGAAGACAATGTAAAGTATTATAATGCAATGTACTGAGACCCCCAAGTTAGAAAACTAAAAGGGAAGAAGACACTCAATATTTCTCAAACTGAAAGAACTGAAGAAAAAAATCCAAGCCTCGAATTGCAATATTGAAGGATTACATGATAAGCAAAATGTTGAATGATGCAGGAAGCATCAAAAGATGATAGAAGAGTCACTGCACCAAAAAGAACAGCCATTTCAGGTGGTAGCATATGATCAAGAATTGATGGTGTTGAAAGAAAAAGTTCATGATGCAATGAAGGCATTGGCAAAAAACAAGCTCTAGGAATTGACGGAATACAAATTGAAATGTTTCAACAAATTGATGCAGCTTTGGAAGATAGCTACCTAGCCAACGGATTGGAAGAGATCCATATTTGTGCCTATTCCAAAGAAAGGCGGCCCAATGGAATGTGGAAATCATTGAACTATCATTAATATCACATGCAAGTAAAAATATGTTAAAGATAATTCAAAAATGGTTGCAGCAGTACACTGACACAAAGATGACAGAAATTCAAGCCAAATTCAGAAGAAGACATGGGATGAAGGATATCATTGCTGATATCAGATGGATCTTGGCTGAAAACAGAGAACATCAGAAAGATATTGTGCTTTATTGACTGTGCAAAGGCATTCAAATGTGTGGATCTTAACAAACTATGGATTTCGTTGCAAAAAATGGGCATTCCAGAACACTTGATTGTGCTCCCAAGAAATGTGTACATAGACCAAGAGGTAGTCATTCAAACAGAACAAGAGGATAGTGAATAGTTTAAAATCAGAAAAGATGTAACTCAATCTGTATGAGCAAATGATCTGAAAAACTGGATTATATGAAGAACATGGCATCAGTCTTCGAGGAATATGTCGAAGATACAACCTTGCTTGCTGGAAGCAAGGGAACTTGAAGTACTTACTGATGAAGATCAAAGAATGCAGCTGTCAGTGTGATTACAACTCAATGTAAAGAAAATGAAAATCCTCACAACTGGATCAGTAAATAACATCATAATAAATGAAGAAAAGATCAAAGTTGTCAAAGACTTCATTTTACTTGAAGCCACAATCTACGCTCAAGTAAAACAGTAGTCAAGAAACCAAAGGACTATTGCAATAAGCAAATCTCTTGCAAAATACCTCTTTAAAGTGTTCAAGAGCAAAGAAGTCAATTTGAGGATTAAGGTGCACTTGACCCAGGCCATGATATTTTCAATTGCCTCCTATGCATATGAAAGTTGGACAATTAGTAAAGAAGACTGTAGAAAAATCTATGAATTTGAATTATAGTGTTGGAGAAGATTTTTGAAAATACCATGGACTGAGCAAAAGAACAAACAAATCTGTTTTGGAAGAAATACAGCCAGATTACTCTTTAGAAGTAACAATGGCAAGACTTTGTCTCTACTACTTTGTATATGTTGTCAGGAAGGGTCAGTGCCTGGAAATGGATATCATGCTTAGTAAAGTATCGGATGGTCAGTGTCTTAGACTGGGTTTTTTAGAGAAGCAAATTCACTGAAGTTAATATATATGTGTATATAAAGTTACCAAGGAAATGGCTCACAGAGATACATAGATAGGCAAGTCCCAAGTCTATGGTCAGATGAACCAAGAGTGGTAGGTCAGATGGCAGGCAGGCAGGTAACAGACCACCAGGCTACTGACTCAAGTCCAAGTTCAAACTGACCTTATAGTTCAGTGCATTAACTCACAGCACAATACCAGGACTCCTGTATAGGGTTGTTGTTGTTGTTAAGTGCCATCAAGTCAGTTCTGACACATAGCGACCCTTTATAGGGTTTCCAAGGAGCAGCTAGTGAGCTTGAACTGCCATCTTTGCAGTTCAAATGCTTTGCAGTCTGGCGCATTAACCCACAGTGCCAAATTTTCACCTTATTAAATTTGCTTTTTCAAAATACTGGGCTCTGTTTCTGATCTGATCCAGTTATCCTATCCACCCATCCATCCCACTAAGATTTTGTTAATATACTTTCTAGGAGAAACAATTTCAACTCCAAAAACTTAAGCAAATGTATGTACTTATGATCGTCCTAAAATTGGTGCTCAATACTGCAAGGGAATACGGTGGCTCCATACTGGACTGCGAACCACTAGATCCGCACTTCAAGCACTCCAGCCTCTCTGCGGGAGAAAGATGAGGCTTTCTGCTCCTGGCTTCCCTTGGGAACCCTATGCAGGATTGCTGAGCAAGGGCACTTAGCAATGCAGGTTTTTCTTTTCTTTGTTTTTACTACAGATGTTTTATTTATTTTTTATTTTTTTTATTCTTACTGAAGTACTATTTGCAGTTTGTTTAAAACACAAAATAATTTTATGAGGATTGTAACAGAAAACTCCTCTCCTTTGCCCTACCCTCTCTCCATAGGCATTCCGTTTAAATTCTTTTAGGCATTTCTCCCCAAAATTTATCTCCACATTTTTCCATAATATGCCTAGTCTGCTATCTTTGGCTCTAATTATTATCTTTTGACAGACACTCTCTTTCCTCTAGGACATTAGTCCAGCAGCTTTCTGTTCCTGGATGTTCTTCTCTAGGACTGGTTACAAGTTCAATTCAATTAATGAAGATGGACCATACATTTACTTACTTAACCATTCTTTCTGGATATTGCTACTTTTCTCCCCAACGATCAGTGACTACCATAATCTTGCTAAGCATTCCCACAGCACCAGTAAGTGTGCTTTCGCCAGTGAAATCCGAAAGTGGACATCATTCCCCTACTCAGAAGACTTTCCTCCTCCATGATCTCTCCTAGTACAAGGCTGACTTGCTAACCCTCAGAGAAGTAGAGAAAATGCATCTCTTGTAGTAAACGTCTAAAAAGCTGACAGGGTTGTTTCCACCCAACTACGATAGTGAAGAAGACTTAAAA